CGGGCATTGCTCAGCCTGGCTGGGCACCGAAGGTTCCCCCTTTGCTGGCGGGGAACCTGAGGAATTCTTCAGCCGGCTGCCAAGCTGCTTCTTGGCAGGAGGGTGGGCGGGTGCTCTGGGCTGAGGGTGAAATGGGAGCCCGGCTCTGCCACCAGCCTCTGCCACTGCCCCTTTGCTGGGCAGGGCTGGGGCAGGGGCAGCCAGCCTGCCAAAAACAAACCCCCGTGGGGGGAGCAAAGGCGGGGCTGCAGAACACCAGCTGCTTTGGGCTGCAGGCCAGGGAAGGCTTGGGCTGCCTTGGCTTAGGAGCCTTTCTTTGGGCCAGTGCAGCAGGGCAGGGAGAAGGCCTGGGTTTTCCTGAGCTGGGGGAGGTGGGGTTTTTCTTTGGCCTGGAGGGGTTGGGCCTTCCTCAGAACCCTGACACAATGTTAACAGTTGACCTCTTTTTCTTGTTTCCACTTTTGGTTTGTAATCTCCTGTCATGAATTTGTCGTTTGTTTCAAGGGAAGAGCTGGAGCTGGTGCCCAGTCCGGATTGGGAAGGGCTGGGACCATCCCTGGAGAGGATGTGACGTCCCCTCTGAGAAGGCTGAGGACATCCTTTGGGACACGCTCTTCTTCTGGCAGCAGATCTTGTGAGGTAGATGCTCATCTTGCCCATCTTGTCAGCAGGAGTGGGATAATGGCTTTTGGGAGATGGCAGCAGGCACATGAACATCCCGCTCTTGCAGCTGCTGAGGAGGTTGATCTCCTGGGCTTGGCTGGAGGAGGTGGCACCTGTGTTGAGTAATTTCTGAAATCCAATCGATCTGGGATGATCCAAATGACAGTTTAGTTCTCAGCTTGCTCGAGCTGTATCTCAGCTGTTCTCTGAACAGTTCTCTCCCCCACCTGCCCATTACTTCCCAAGTGCTCCCTCCTGTCCCTGCAATGAGTTCCCAGCTTCTCATGGTCTCCATCAAACCGTTGAGAGAAGAAATAGAAACTCTACTCCCAGTCCCTCGGAGTGCCCAAATGAGGAACAATGTAATCCTGGAGAAGTCCTAGAGAATTAGATAAGGGGTGTCCCAAACAAGCAGGATGTAAACTAAGCTCTGTGTACCCAGATAAAATAAAGAACAAACTTTATTTTTGGTGGTGAAACACAATGATGTTGTACTGCTCAAGACGTGAGGTCAGGATGACAGAGGAGGCCTGGAAGGACCAGCAAAGGACTTCCAATAGGGGTGTGACTATGTAAAGCAGAGTAATGAATATGTATTAAGTAAGCAAGACTGTTGAATGCACATGTAAACAGTGTGTGTAAGAAAAAGCCCTGTCTGTCCTTTGGCACGGTGGATTAGAGGAGCTCTCCTCTGAACGCCCAGAAGCTGAATAAAGAAGAATGCTCTTTTTAACATCTCCAAATTGGGGTGAAGAAGTTGGTTTCTGCTGCTTTTCAGTATGATTTTTGGCCCCCCAGACAGGACACCTCTGTCTGATCTGCCGCGGATCCGAGGGATCTCTGGATCTTCACGCCAGCACCAGGACTTTGCTGCAGAAGAGCACAGATCCCCAACCCAGTCTGGGACACAGGTAAGATCCCACTGGATAACAAGGCATTCTTTTTGGGAATCCTGCCCCTGTCAAACGTATGGATCTTTCAGCACACTGGGGGGTTCTTTGGTATTTTGGGAATCCTGCTCATCTGAGACCTGTGGATCTTCCAGCCCTTTGGGTGGGTTCTTTGGTATTCTGGAATTTGGTTTTGGCTTTGTTTTATTGATCACTCTTGTTTTGTACTTGTCTTTGTTTCTGTATTGTAACATTTTGGGTCTACTGTTTGGAGCTGGGAAGTGGGCAATCTGAAGGGGGAATTTTGAAGAAGTGTCCCTTGGTTGCATTTTGCAATATCGGATGAAGATTGGCGGCCCCCCCGGAGGAACAGCTCCCAGGGAGAATTTAATGGAGTGTTGGAATCAATGGGTGGCTGTTCTGGAACACTGAATTAGAATCCATTGTTACAGCTGATGCTGTTTTAGAAGGGGAACAGAAGCGGAAGGAGGTTATGTCTGGTGATGTGTTTTTCCCTTTGCAGAACCTGTGAAATGGCAGAAAGATTGTGGTGTAAATGCAGCGCCCTCAGAGCCCTTGGTGTGAGCCTGGAAAGGAAAATCAAGGGCAATGGTTAAAGCCTTGTTGTTCAATGTGGAGCCCAGGAAAACTTTCTTCTCATCTCCCCGCTAAGGAGGAGGACTCAGATCTTCTGGTTGGCCCCACGGGCAGGTTGAGTGGGGGAACAGAGAATCAAGATGCAGAAACCAACCTTGCAAGGGAACTGCCATGTGAAGAGGCAGCTTTAGCATGTCCAGAAGAAAAGGGAGAGAGAA